CCCCCCCCCCCCCCCCCCCCCCTTCAACAGCACCAAACTAAACCCAGACCAGAAGAGCCTCATGTGAGCCCCACGGACTCCCTCTGGTACGAACAGGTCCAGTAAAGACCAGAAACTGAACTTCTGCTTCTGCTTGTTGGACTTCAGACGAAGCTGCTGAGAACTGGATCAACCACTTTTAAATTATTAGGAAACATTCAGGTTTTTATTTCCGGGTGTCAGGAGGGACCAGGACTGTCGGATACAGCTCAGTGCTGAGGGGCACAACAAACATCTTCCCCATAGAAACAGTTTGTAGCATAAATTTTACTCAAGTCACGTCATTTGGAAGTATCCTTAAACCCTTTGCCAGGCTTTGAAAATTCCTTAAAGTCTCTTTTTGGTTGCACAAACACTTGAGGTACTTTTAACAAAAGAAAATGTGCCAAGACGAAGAGTTCAGAGACGAAGAGTTCAGAGACGAAGCAAAACCATCCCTTTGAACCTTTTTATTTTGGTTTTATGAATATTTGTGAATCTAAACTAGATGAAGTTATATTTCGGCTGGACATGAAGACGAAACAGCTGCCGGTACGAATGCAGGGTCAGTAATGTTTGAAGGAGTATGTCTTGAATCCTGTGGAGGTCAGAGGTGAAGAGCTTCAGGACTCTGAAAGTGACGGTAGATTCATTCCTGGTGTTTGACATCGTACAAACTACTGTGTAAGCAGACTGAAGTCCTCTTCCAATTTGACTCAGATTCTGGTTTTGTTCAGGTCCACCTGAGGATCAGGTAGAAAAGACACAGACCCTTTCCAGGTACAAGTTCTTGGACCTTTAAAGACCTCCAGACGAGGACAATCGTATACTATGCACGAATGAAGAGCCAACAGCAGGAGCCAGTTTACCTCAAACTCTTCCTCTTCTTCCTGAATGTAAATGTTCTCTGAGACTCTGGAGGCCACGGTGAACCAGCAGGTGGATCCTGTAGTCTCAGCTGTAAACATTTGACAAGAACTAGACTGATGTTTGAATCCAAACACCCAAATCCTCAAACACCTGAAACATACTTGATTAGACCCAACAAGACCAGATCTCTTTGATTGTTCGTCTCTTCAGATCAGGACCAGCTGCACTCTGAACGAGGAGCTAACGAAGCTAACAGAGCTAACGGCTACAGAGAAACTAAATCTCAAACTGAAGCAGTCAATCTGAAACTGATTAAATTACAATGAAAACAATCAAAAGGAAAAACAATTGGCTAACTAACATGACAGCTGTGCAACATGGTAAAGTTACGCTAATGTTAGCTAGCTAGCTACTTTAAGTCGACTCATTGTGTACAAATTGGTAGTTTGTGGTGAACATCTGTAGCTGATGAGCTAACCAAGCTAAAAGCTTGCAGGCTCACATTAACAAGCTAATGTAGCAGTTAAGAAGCTAACAGAGCTAACAACTAAAGAGAAACTAAATCTAAAACTAATGAAGTCAATGTGAAACATTACATTCATTTAGCAGACGATTTTATCCAAAGCGACTTATAATTCAGATTCCATCACATTTCTACACCGTAGGCACAACTACGGGAGCAGCTTTTGGGGTGAAGTGTGTTGCTCAAGGACACATCGACATGCGACTAGTGGAGCCAGGGATCGAACCACCGATCCTCTGATTGAAGGACAGCCCTGCTCCCCACTTACCCACAGTCGCCCTTTGGCCTTTCGCAACTTTGATTAAGTCACAATATGAAATCAGAATGAAAACAATCAAAAGGAAAAAACTAACGGACATATTAGCTGTGCAACAAGGGAAAGTTATCACCAAACGAATAGCTAGCTGAATAGCGTCCAGAAGATAGCGGAAAATAAAAAGAGGACAGAGCTTTTAAAGTTTTTATCTCGTCTACAGAAAAGGATCATTTGTTTAAACAGGATTTAAAAATATAGATATCTTTATGGAATCATTATTATTATTATTTCAAGATGTTTTTTTAGGTAATTTCTCAAACCATGACAGATTTTATTTTATTTTTTTCAGCGTCTTAAAGTTCTGATTCTGTCAAGAAGAACAATGAAACTCGTTGAAGTTATTAAAAACTGGATGAAATGAACTGGAACTCATGTATGCGTACGTAACTGTGATTAAAGGCAGGTTTCCTGCTCAGAGGCACGTCGGCAGCTCACATGACACGTTTTAATACGACCGGACACGGCGGTCGCTGCGTCCCAAAATAAAAGAGTTCAATTGCAAATAAATGAAATTGCTGCACATCAACTCATTTCAATAGGTTTAAATGTGACAGATGCTGCTCAGTTAAAGCTGCGTTTCACTGTTTGAGGAGCTTTTGAGAATTAAACGGTTTATTTTTCGTGAATTGTCTCCTCTTTTTGAGTTTTACTGGAAAATTATTTTTGTATATAACATTCAGACTTTTGTACTTTTACAGCTTCCTGCTGGTTTCTGTTGACTTCGTGAGGATGATCACAAAAAAATAAATCTGGTTTCACAGATTTAACGACAGATTTTTCAACTTAACCTTTTTAACTTTGTAAGAAAAGAAATGAAGGAATTTGACAACGTTTGGGCAGAAGATTCTAGTTAAAGTGAGTTTAAATGCAACACGTCTCCAGTTCAACGGTTCACGAGGAATAAAATCCACTCGACGCGTTTGTTCGGTGATGAAACTCTGAATGTAAACGGGTTGTTGTCTTTTCCTGTGATTATTGTTATGTATTCTAATTATTCTTGCATTATTGTTCGCTGTACAGACGGGTACGACGTATGAATTAAATATTAAACAGCTTCTTCATTTTAACTCAGAAGACAATACGATAAAATGAAAATGCAGATTGGATTGTTGCACTTTACTTTTTCTTTTTCTTCGTAAAACTAACGTGTGAAATGATGACGATCAGTTTATTAATGGCCCCTGTGGGCTTCCATACTTCTCTCAGAAACACATGTTGATGAATGTTTTCACTGATTTGTTCCTTTGATTGTCTTCCCTCACTATTGGTCTTCCCCGTTTGTCTCTGTGGCACCCAGAGGGGATGATGGGAGATGTAGTCCAGCAGTGACGTGAAGCTGATCGGCTCATGTGCTAAAAATAAAAACCTGCAAACTGAACCTGGATCAGTGCCGTCTGCTGTTTCTCTATTATCTGTGTTGGTCCGTCTCTCAACTCGGTCCAACTTCCTGTCTGCGTCTCGTTGGTTCCTACTGAAGACGTTTAATCAAACAAGCAGGAGGAACTGTTGGGCTTCTTTCTCATTTCTCGATTCCTTTCCTCGCCTCCTCACCGTTAAAAGCCTAATTTTAAAGCGACGGGAATTTAGTTTGAGGTTCGTCACAGCTGATCAGCTGTTTGTTGTGTAGTTACACTCAGGAGACAACCTTCTAAAAGAGAAGTCAAAGCTTCACGTGTTAAAGCTGCATTCTCTCTCGTGTCCACCAGGGGGCGACTCCTCTGGTTGT